TTCTCTTCTGGCTTTAGGTTCCATGTTGATGTCTATTATGACTGATAATTATTTGCTTTAATTGTTTTAAATGGCTCAATTCTACATCACCTGGAGGACCCAAGTTATTGCTTGATGTCATAGATAGCATGAATACTAAACTGAGATATTTCTTTAACATCTAAAAAGTCTTAGTTTATTTTCTAAGCCATTCCAAAGTTGCACTTGCAGTAGCCTGTGAGAAAATAATGTTTCCTAAGGACAGCTAGGGCTTTACCTCCTGGTGAATTCACAGGCCTTATTTTCTGGCTCACTTCCTTCATATGGCCAGATTGCCACCACACAGCTTCCCTGGTTGGGAAGGGGAAAACAGGCAATTTGGGGATCTGAGCGGGTGGATTGTATTGTGAGCAAGCTGTGGAGTCTGTGGGAAGCATTATGGAATAAGGATGTGTGCAAGACTAAAAGTTTGTACCAAGATGTTCACAAAGATTCTATGATCTGTGTCATTGGTCCCACCTTTAGAATGTCTAATCAATGTCTCTTTAAAATAATTAGGTCAATAAATAAAATATTAGGATTTTAGCTTTAGCTGTTTTATTTTCTCATTGACGTTTGATAGCTGACTATCAAAGCAACGATGGTAGTTTGACAGCACACCATCCACAGATTTAAATGAAAGAGTTAAAACAGCTGCTTAAATCACTGGTTTAAGTCAGTGGAACTTTAAAGTGCTACATTTGGCTGGATGCAATCATTTAAGGATCTGAATGCCAGATAGCACCTGAGGGGATTGAGTTGAGTTTGGATTTCTATGAATCTAGCCTATGGATTTTGCAGCGGGCCACTATTTCCAAGTAACACAGATTCCACACACTTGGAGACTACTTTTTAAAAACCTTTTCATAATCTTGCAGAAATTTGATCATAGAAAAACACAGGGGAGAAAAGCACTAACAGAAAATGTTTATTCCTTCCCCCATATCCCCTGCTCACATAAAGTGTGAAAAAAATATTCATTTTGAGGGAATATGGGCTTTCACACATTTTTGGAAGTATAATTGTGCAAATGCATACAAATCCATATGCACAAAATGACATGCTGTTGATGAATGGATGGTGGAAAAGAAAGGTGCATGGCAGTCCACAAAATGATCACTGGACAGAGGTAATCGACATCCTGATTTAAGGATTAGGACTTCTTCTTTTCAAAAGTATGGATTAGCTGCAAAGTTAATTGTGTGCAGTGATCTGTTTCTTTGCATCCTGATTGTAAACAAGTAAATTATTCCATCTGCACTGTAAAAGCCCTTATTATCTTTGATTTGTTTAAATGTTTTATTTTAATTAAACAACAGACATTACAAAGTGCTTCTAAATACTTAAATGCAAAACTCTGTCCAGCTGGGATTGTTGGGGAATTTACTGTTTTCTACTTTTAAAAAGTATATAATAAGGCTGACAATGCCTGGATTATAACTGTATAATCAAAAGCTTGGCTGAAAAGCAATATACAAATTAAATAAATATTATTAGTATTTTATTTCAGAAGCCTTATTTTAGTGATATTTAAAGCCTAGATTTAAATCTAATGGGCTGAAAGCAAAATGATCCTTCCACAGATAAAAGGATAATTATCTGTTCAGATATTGTACTGTAAAGCAGCAGAGAGCAGATAATTTTTTGCTGGATCCCTCTTTTCCCTGAAGCACTCCACTTCACTTCCTAAACTATTCCAGGAAAGTTTTTCAAGCATCCAGACAGCAAAAGAGGCTGCCATGGGACAAAGGAATTGGCAGATATCATGGGAACTCTGGATCCAGCCCATTGCAATATATTCATACTCTTTATGATAATAAATATGATAATAATATGATAATATGATAATAATATGATAATAAAAAGCTGCCTAGACAAACCATGGGTGAAATAGGCAGCATATAAATGTTTTAAATAAATAAATAAAGTAATAACATTTAAATAGTATTCCTCCTAACCTGAGCTATTTGGGCTAAATTGATAAACACTGCTGTTGCATTCTATAAGTTCTGGAGCATGGATGGCAGGTAACTATGATAGAAATGCCGAGACCAGGGCACAGGTGCAGAGCAGAGTCCTGCAGCTTTCAGAGGGCCAAGGGCAAGAGGCACATGGGTGTAACAATCCAGAGTCAAGCAGCAGAGTCCAGGATTACACAGTCCAAAAGCACAGTCCAAGGGTTAAGTTCCAGAAAGATAATAACATTCTGAAGCAAGGAAGAGGAGTGCAAGTACCTGGAGAGGCAGGATCAGGCTGGAGACAAGGACTGAAGCAGGAACAGGCTGGAGCAAGGCAGGGAGTAAGGCAGGAACCGGGATTTGGGAGAGGCAATGCAGGGAACCATAGCACAAGGGAGTCACAAGGACAGCTCATATGGCTGTAGCAAAGGGTAGCAGTACAATCAGCCTTTTACACTGGTCTCTCAGCCCCCCAGCTGCACTGCATAATTGATTAGATTTGTAGGTGAGGTTCCATCCCTTCTTGTCATCTACTCTTCCTCCGCATAAGTAGGCATGCAGCCAAATAGGCACTGTGTTTCCCTGCCTGGAAATCTGTAGGGTGTGGGCCAGTCTCTTGCTTATTACAGGCAGTGCAGCCCACTGAACAGTCATCATCAGATTCTGAACAGGAGGAGGAGGAGGAGAGGAGAGATAGGCGCAAGCAAGGTCTGGACCCTTTGAGGCTCCTTCAAGGTTGCTTAGTGAAGTTTCTCACACTGAGCATGAGACTCATTCTGTTTGGAAGGAATAAAAGGGTTTTGGGGAGGGGAGGGGAGGGGAGGAGAACCAGATACAGGACCCAGTCCTTGACCCAGTAAGGAGGCATTGGGAGAGATGAGCTGCATGTTGGGTGACTGGGGGTGGGGTCTGTCATTCTCACCATCTTGCTCTTCAACAGCAAGAGCCACCCTGAGGGTGGAGCCAGCAGCCTTACAGAAAGGGAAGGACTGTGGTGAACTTTCTAGTTTGGATTCAGTTCTTTATATGAGCAAAATCTTCTCCTTCCACCAAATAGTAAAAAGCAATTTAGAGTTAAACTGTTCTGTCAGCTGTGGAATTACAGTAAAGGAACTGCATTTCAAAGGATTGTCTTGAGATTTGGGTACCCGAAGGAAGGAGGGAAAGAACTAACTCATAATAATAGCTTTCTGGACATGCTTCTTCCTGCGCTCCTGGAGGTGAATCTGCTGGGTCAATGGCAGGATAGTGAGAACAGCTGGCTTCTTCTTCCCCTTCCGCCCTCTGACCTCTTTGTGGGGAATATTGCCCAGCATGGTAGTCTCAGGAGGTGTTTTCTGAGTTACTGATACTTGCTAACTACTGCAAGCACTGAGGGCAGCAATAGGATCCTTCCCCAAGTTTGCATCCAGTTCTGGGCTGATTCTGCAGGAAGGTGGTGGGAAGTAACAACTGTTCCCACTTATGGCTTATTTAAAATAGATCCACATAGTGGCAGGGAAAGTGGTATACTTTATTGACCTCAGTTACTGTAAACTGGATTTCCTTTGTCTTATTTGGCACAATAACACAAGTTTGTTCCACGCAGAAGTCACATTCTTTTTGAAACACTGGAAAACTGAAAATGTTGAAAACAACAGGATCTCTCTTAAAGGCTTTGTGTAGGTAAAATAGTATTTGGTGTAGACTTTGTAAATTGTACATAGAAATGTAAATCTTATATTGGATCAGGAATCAAAATATGTTTGCCAATGATGCAAGATATATGGGACCACTGTTGTGTACAAGACATAAGATTCTGTAACATTTGGATAAAAAGGGCCTGCATCATGGTGCTTCAGAATGCTTGTGCAAGCCAATAATTAGAATGCATGGACAGGAAAAAAAGTAGCAGCAGCAGCAGCAGCAGCAGCAGTAGTGGCCATTTAAGTGCTCAGTTCTGCAGAATGCTGTACTTTCTGCTTGTACAAGTTAAGGACTTGGGTTCATTTAAAGGTTATGGCTTGTATAAGCAAGATTTAGATTTACTCCCCAAACAAAATCATTCTGATTTGCCTCAATTGACAGGATAGCCAAATAAGACTCCAAACTATGACATTTCAGAACGATTCAGATACATTTGGTACAGGCTTAGAAAGAGTCGACATTGCTTAGTCTGCCTACAACATAACCTTATGTCCTTAAGCACTTTCCTGGCACTCATCGACTTACAAGCCCTGTTTGAGCACATGAATGGTTTGTATCACCTTATATCAATTTATGAGCCCTGGTTGCTTGTGCTAATGACTTCAAAGTGAGGTCAACTGGAAATGAAGAAAAGAACAGTCTTTGAATGTGTCTCTGCAAAGCAAAAGATTTTTGACATAGAACCATTGGTCTTTATCCTTTGATTTGAAGAACTATAAAAAATCAAATCCAATTCAGTCCATACCTCAGAATGTCAAAGCTACTTTCCCAAGCCTTTTCTAATTAGTGTCTCTAATTCACTGTTTTAACAATGTCTCTCTTACCCAATTTCCTTTCTAATTCAATTCTTCTCTCCTCCTCTACATTTGCTTATTTATACAGATTGTAAGTCCTGCGGCTGAGTTTTTTCATTGCCGGTTGCATGTTTCATCCTGTGCAGCACAACAAAATATTGTTTTATATAGGTATTTTGATTAAAGATGCTGTGATTAAATAAAAATATGAGCAATTATATGTACAGTTGTTGTCGGTGTACAAGGCCACAGCTGTAGGCACACTTACCTGGAATAAGTGTAACTGGGCTCAGTGGAACTTACGTGTAAGCAAATATACCTATTCTTGCCCTGCACATGTTTTTAGGTGAGCTAGATGTGCATGTGGATGAAATGAAAACGTGCAATAGATTTGGTCAAATGCCTTCACAGCTTTTTGACTGAACCCTGATTATTTTTGATTTCCTATACTTGGTGTCATTTTGACTATATTGCAGTTAAACATGTCTGAAGCCATTATTCATTATACTGCAGAGTTACAAATCAGAAACTGTTTGCTTTTCAGGTCCTCCTGGTAAACGAGGTAAGCGAGGAAGAAGAGGAGAGATTGGTAAGTCTATAGATTTAGACGTAATACTACCAAATTGTGTTTTCATCAGCATCTTGTTCATTTTGTAAAAACAGATTTGCTGATACTTTGAAGTCTACATCTTTACCTTTTGCACAAAACTAGTTTCAGTGAGTTTGACAGACCATTGAATAAAGTGCTTTCTTCAAAGTGCTTTTTACAAAATGTAAGGACATAAACTTCAATGAGTCAAACTAACAGCAAAACACTTTATTTTCTAGACCCTGGAATGTAGTGAGACATATTGTCTTGGATTCAGAAGTGCTTTTCTATTAGCAAACCCCCTTCTGCTCATGGAAAATCTATTTCTGACCTTGCAAAAGAGCACTTCATGGAAATAAAGGATGTCAAATTCAGATACCTTTATCTTTGTAAAGTCTTCCACAAAATGTTGAGCAAGGTTTTGCACAAGTTCTTTTCATGATGTACTATTTTAATTGCTACACCTTGTCCCTTTAGTTACCATATGTTTCATACAGTAGTACAATCCTGGAATATATTGTGAGAAGTCTTCCACTAATATTTGCACAAAGGTTTATAAAAGAGCATCATTTGGGGTTTTTTCCTACTAAATGTTCATTGGATCCAAGCCATTGTAATCTGCATATAGCTTCAAATTAACATTTGATAGTTTGTAGCCAGAACATTGCTCTGCAGACATGTGCTAATTTATACCTACTTTTAAAAGGTAATTATTTTCCAAAATAACTTAAAGAAAATAAGCAATATAGTGGAAATAAAGCACGTTAGAATAAACCCAGTAAACAAATACAAAATATAGATTTAGCAGAGTCATACTTTAAATGAAATTTGCAAAGGGCTATAACCATTCCTGTATACTGAGCATAGAGTTCTGTTCATGTCTTGGGCTATTCTTGGGTTTTAGCCCCCCTTTTCTCTCAGCGCTTTGAGCACCCTTTCCCAAAATTTTACTCTGGAAAAACCCCAAGAATGACCCAAGACGTGAACAAAAACTGGTTTGCAAAACTGGTCTTGTTCAACAAATCATAGCTATGCATTAGGGATTGGATATATGCTAAAACATGGTCAATCCAGAATTGAAATGGAAGCTTATGATCTCATTCTTCTAGCTGATCCAGAAGACAAGCTTGCTGAACCATGGTTTAGCGATACATGTGAATGTATCAGTTGTAATTTTGACATAACATTTCAGTAGCTTTAAGTATATTATATTATTAACAAAGAATCTAATTTGCTTTCTGTTAGGAAAACATGCTATACATTAAAATTCTCTTTAGAACCACTTACCAGAATCAAGAAATTACTTTAGTTAGCTATGCAATAAAATCACATTGTTAAAATAAAAGCCTAACCATATTTAAAGCAAACTTCAAGGACAGCTGCTGCTGTTATATGCCCCCTTTGCAATGCACTTGAGTCAGAAGAAAAAGGGAAACATAAAAGCTAATGAAAAGTCATTGATTTGATGGCTACAGCTGCTCCTCTTAATAAGCCTGAAAGAAATATTAGATGCGATTTGCAGACCTTTGATAATGTTCTCAACTATAGTTGTACAAAACCCTTTTGAGTGTAAATAATTGGAAAAATGTGCCAATACTGCTTCACAAAGTGTGACATTTTTAACAGGGAACATTTTATAAGTAGGCCTTGCAAGTAGGAGACCATAAAAGAAAGTTTGGTGTAGTATGTGACTAATTGAACTTGCCTGTCTTGCCAGAGCTAGAAGGCAGCAAATGTAGTTCTAAGCAGTTCTGCCTTTTTGCTAAGGCTACCTGCTAAAGGGAAAATGTTTTGGGAAGGAAGCTACCACAAGCCAGTATACAACAGTTGCAAAACTGGCACTTGTAATAAAAACTGGGTAGATGCATGATGCAAAATGGTAACCTTTTATTACTGTATGAAATGAATGCAGATATGTTTTTGTGGAAAAATAACCTGTATGACTATGACACAATTATTGTGACTATGTGTAGATATTGCATACAGATAATTTGGCCTTCACAAACTTATATATATTTGTCTTTCTTTTTTCCCCCACAGGACCTCCTGTAAGTACAACTGATATGTTATTGGATCTTCTACGTTTTCAAGAATGGGGCAGAAAGTACTTTAAAAACTGGTAAACATGACTAATACATTAAATATGCTAAGCACCATCCAAAAAGCCTTCATATTTATTGCTAGGGTGTTTTATATCACAACAATTTTTTCAGAACACTTGTCTTGCTCTTTTTAGAGAATCTTTTAAAACCAAACATTTTACATTGGTAGTAGAGGTTAACATTGTAGAACAGAATAGCAGGTGTTAGAATTTTGCTTCCTGTACCAGTTAGTGTCTATTTTGGTATTGTTTGAGGCCTTTTCATTCAAAACATGGGCTGCCAATTCCAATCCTGTGGTGGAGGTATGGGAAGCACTTTCCCTGTATATTCTGATTTAAGGGTAATTTGTGTGATTCATAGATGGGAAAGATCACACATGATCACACTGTGCCTGCAACCATACTTTATGGGAAGTGTATGATGGAGAAGGCACACCTCTCCATCATTAGAAGTGAATTACCAGAACTGAGAGCAGGGATTACACTTCCCAAGGCCAGGTTTTCTAGTTATCCCTCTAGGGTTTTTTTGGTCTATTCCCTTGCACTTTCTGGGTGATTAAACAGTTAAAAGAATAAAAAGAAGGTGCAGTAGCTGACCTACAACCTAGCTGCTGCTTCTGGGAGGCAGAGCAGATTTTGGACAGATGGAGAGACATGTGAACAGAGAAGAGGGATGAAGTTTTCAGAGACCATATTGCTAAAGGGCTCTGCAAACTAGAACCTTCTTTGATGGCCCATTGTTTATATGAACCCAGCCCAACTTCCATACATAAAATAATACAACATTATGAGTGATGAGGTTTCATATGAGGACAATATGCATCTTTTGGATATGCAACTAGCCTTACTCAAGTAAAATCAGATTGTTTGGAAGTCAGTGATGTCAAGATAAAATTATTATTCTTTTATTAAGACAATGCCAGTGAAAATTACTTGGTCATAACTGGAGCTTTCATGTGCCAGAATCACACCATTATCTGCTCTGTATCATGCCTGTGTTTCACCTTGAAAAAGCCTGAGTCCTCACAGTGCTTACTGTGAACTAATTTGAAGGACTGAGGAGTATCAACTGAGGGTCAGTCTTGCAGAGGGAAGAGTCACCATAGAAAAGATTTTCTTAGGCCCAGGAGTTTTGCAAAGAACAGGAGGTGCTTTCTTCAAGCTCTCTTCTCAGTGGATGCTTGAATGCTGCTCCAAGACAAAGTCAGTTGTAGACATTAACAGTAACTATGGTGTATTTTGCCCTAGATTTGTTTTCCCCAAAATAATACCAGGTAATTTTTTCGCTTCCTGTTCTCCCATTCTATACTAAAGCCACATTTATCATTGTTTCTTTATGGTTGTTTACGAGGTGTAACTAAAGTTTTTGTTTGGTCCTCTCATCTGCAGAGCACCTGCTGCAGCTTGAGTCCCACATCACAGAAGAGCACATATCTCTGTGTGGCTTGAACTGGGCATGCTGTGGACTTTGGTTGACCCTTGTCCATGCTGTAGCCCCTTTTAGCGGAACCTGGTTACCCAGGTGTTTTGCATATGTGTGTGAAATCACTGAAGTTCCTTCATTCACTCTTTCTTCCTATTTATAGGCAGGCATTGTTCGCCTTAGAGTAATGATGTTGCAATCTTATGCATACTTAATATAAGAGGACATGCAGAGGATTGTCTTGTCAATATAAAAAGTATTTAAAACCATGTTAAATTGTAAGACATAAAACCTCTTTTTTTTTAAAAAAAGTGTTTTTTCTCCAAAAATTCTGGTTATAGCACTTGGAATTTCAGACTGTGTCATGCTAGCTGTTTGCAATCTTAGGCTGTTGAATTTTTCAGGTGCAATATAATTGGAGTGTCTTTTTGTACATGCCAAAACACTGAATGCAGCATCCAATGGGCCCTTGTTTGAAGGATCTACTTCTAGCACAAAAGGCAACTTGTATTTCCTTTAGCAATGCTGGAAACAAGCTGGAACATTTCTTTCCAGAATGGGATAGGTTAGCAGAGTTCTCTTCTGCTCGTTTCAGTTTGTTTCCAGGTGTTTTTGGAAATATTAGCTTCCCTTTGTGCTAACAGTGGGTCCCGTTGGTGTGTGGGCAGCACTGGATACTGCTCAACATACTTAAATTCAGCATTTAATTTTGAATTTAACTTTAGGTACTAAACAGATAAGAAAAATGATTGTAGTATGAGATGTAAGTCACAAATTAATTGGTCTCTTTTGCTTTTGAATTTTTCATCTATAAATAGTAATGGTACCATTACTCAAGTACCATAGACACATTTGAATAGACATGAATTGAGAGAATAGGTTGACACACTTGGATGCCACTGAAATCCTGCCATCACTTGCATGTGTATAAGTACCCCTGCAGTTAGTGTAATTGACTTAAGAGTGACTAAGCCATACTCTTATTCACATTTGTTTGACAATAAGCCCCCTTGAGTTAAATAATATTTACTTCTGAGATGACAAGTATATGATTGCTCAGAGGAGTTCTTGGATCCCAAAAGTCTTTTGCTAACTCTTGACATACATTAGGATGCAAATGCAGTTTTTGTGTAAGATAATGTAGCCAGCTGAAAAATGAGACAGTACTGATACAAAGTTACATTTCATGTTAATTTGCAAAGTATATGTGTAGGTCACATATGTATGCTTAATTAGTATAATTCCATTTCATCTCATTCAACCAGGGTCACCCAGGGCGAAAAGGCTACCCGGTAACTGACCTATCATATTTATGAAATGCATGTATTACTTTCAAACCATTATTTTCTTCACTGTCTTTGTCTTTGCCTGAATAGTTTTTAGTGAGTTAAGGAACATTACCCTACCCTGGTGTATTTCTGTATTTGCTTAGCACTTTCAGATCTTTACACAGGATCTACCAAGAAAGACTAATTTCATAATATATGCCTGGAAGACAATGTAACCATTGCTGGATGTCTGTTTATTGAACTTGTGCATTCTTGAATATAGACATCATTCTTCACCATAATTTAAAGCATTACCTTAAATGCATTCATCTTGCATTACAATGTTGTTTATTCAAGTGCAATTTGGTTGAGTTACTATAGGATTTTACTATTTTAAAAATTGTTCAGCTGGCTTATATGCATCTACAGGAAAGTTGCTGTTTGAAAGTATCCATTCTTTATAAATCCTGTTAGGCAGTTTTATAAAGACACATATAATTTACATTTGATAATGACATATATAATTTATTTTTGTGCTGTTACAATATAGTCCTGTGAAAAGGCAAATGCCACCTTGGCTTTCCTCTCCCTTGGCAAAGCATCTAGATTTTAGCCATCTAAATGCAGTACTTCAGAGCAGGAAGGAAGGATATGGAAAGGCTGCCAGAAGATCTCATATCTTAGTGGTACCAGTCTACTTCCCTCCCCACAGATCCCTTCTCCAGGGTAGCTCACAATACTGCAGAGAAGTAGCCTGCATGTTTCTTCCCATAAGTAGTGATTTTCTGATCTTGTAGCTGGGAATCTGAAAAATGCTAGGGCATCTGGATACTTGCAGCCATAGGACTGTGCGTGTTTTATGATCTTCATGATCTTGCATGCTTACCAGTTTACCTGAGAATTCCAGGTATACAAAATTAACACTTCCCTCATGCATAAGATTAATCACATATATTCTTTAATCTGCATGTGATGTTACTATCCCAGTTCAGAATGTTTAGATACAAATATATAAAAGAATGTAACAAGACTTATAGAGCATAATTAGTAAATGAAATCAAAGGCTTATCTATTTCCTCATTCTCTTCAGTGGCCACCCAGGTATAGGAAGCCCACACACATGGCATTCTCAGTTGTTTCTCAACCCAATTTTAGAGGCATCTCTGAACCTAGAGATGGCAAATGGCCATCATGACTGATAACCACAGATAGCCTTAGCCTTCATGAATGTATGTACTCTGCATTTATTTTGGTAGTCATAACCATGTTGCATAGTTGCACATTCCCAAGTTGAACTATGTGCTATGTGACAATGCACTTCCTTTTATCTGTCCTGAATCTCTTGGCATTCAGCATCATCAATTCCAGTCTTGTGTGTGAGAGAAAAAAAAACTTGTTTCTGTCCTCTGTCTCTACACCATGTATATCATGCCCCTTGGACTTGCCATTTGTTTGACTGAAAAACCCCTAACAGTGTGAACCTTTATCCTATTGGAATTGCACCATCCCTTTGATTATTCTGGTGGCATTTTTGCCACATTTTCCATCTCTCCTAGGGATGCTGGAAAAATCTGCAATGCATTCAGTGAATTCAGCTTTCGGTGTAGCTGATCTGTGAATTCTGGGGATACCAGAGATTACAATTAGGCACATCTGCCTGCAATACCCATGGTGTACCACTGAGCCCTTTATTCTGCAAATGTGCAGATACGAACGTATGATCATTATCTTATAATGCCTGCTGCACATTAATAAGTGAGCACAGGACACAGAAAGTGTATGCACATTTAATATCAGGCATAAGAAAAATGAATGACTGTAATTGCATATAATAACACTGAAAACTTTCTACTAGTCATGGCTACCCAAGATGTAAAGTGAAACAGAAACATGGAGGAATTCTTCCATAATAGTATACTGGGGTTTTCCTTACCCCATATACTTCTGAGAAAAAATATTATTACATAAATATGTGTATAGATGTATAGGAGAGGTCAGGACAGGGGGCAGAATTCTTGCTCACTTTGGAAACATGGTGAGCAAATAAAGGACAAGTAGGATTGGGAAGAGGACATAGTTTTAAAAAGCTGGAAATTTTGTTCCAGATTTGTGGTTAGTGGCAGTGAAAACCTCAGTGGCTGTGTTCATACGTAGTACTAAACCATGGTTTAATGTTGTTAGGATGACCCCATGTGAACCCTGGGCTGATGTGCTTCCTCCTGCTGCAAAGAGGTATCTGAAAACCTTACCTTCTGA